GTTGTGTCTTGTCTACAACCTATAGCGCAGGTCCGGGCTCATAACTGTCACGTTATGAGACTCATTGTTAACTAAGCTCCTTTTTCAAAAATTGTTATTCTTGTTCTTCCTCCCTCTCCTAAACTCTAGAAACTCAAGATATTTAATACTTTCGGAATACTGCTGCCTCCAGGCAGCAGTATGACGACTACTGTTGCCACTTGCCACTCTGGTGGCAAAATGCTTGCGTGTTTCAATCAACAGAGGCAGTTTTATCCGACAAAAATATACAACGCTTCACGCGTCGTTTCCCGCGCTTTAGGAAATGGATCCATCTAAGTACCCTCTTATTTACGCCACATGGCGCTAGACAACTTCAGTGTCTGCCATCCGAGCTGCCGGAACGCAAGCCACCTATGTGGGGCCCAAGTTGCACTCATTGGGTCAACTGGTGTTTCAGCCACCCGCGGCACAAGATTAAGCGCTGAATGATGCGCCAGATGAGCTTCATGTTCAATGTTCAATGATATCTGGGGTCCTTTGCAGGCGTCGCTGGCGCGCAACACGACTGGAGAGAGGGCCCTGGTCAAGTCCCACTCGTTCCCTTGGAACAAGAGCGGGCCGAGAATAATGTAACCCGACCCCTTAATCAACTTGGCTTATTGACATTATTATGCGAACCATGTCGCATGTGCGGTGTGTAAGCCAACAAGGCTTGTTGCAAAGGCTGGCCCGTCCTTGGCAAATGTGAAAAAGGCATCAATTGATCTCATCGGCACCATTGCTATTGCCAATTACAGCTTAAAACATGTTTAAAGCGGTTGTTCAGTCTGGAAGGAAAGTCGAAGAAAGCTGACTCGCTATCTAGGTCTTAAAGTGGGGCTGTTCCCTTGTAATTTACTTGTAGCATGATGTTGACGTGTCAAGAAAAGTGGCGCATTACTTGCATAAAAGTTATATTCCCAGCACTTTACGCTGCTAGCATATTTACTTTTATGCTTTTAGTTTCACTTATATTACTCAACACCTGTTTAACGGAAACCGACCACTATGCCAATACAACCTGCATTGACTTTAATGCACGCACGTAATCAATGCTGATGCGCAGCGTTTTCTGTTGACAAGTCATGATGCTAGTTTATATTATAATTGAAGTCATGCCAGCTTTGCTACTTGTATTAGGATGCGCTTATGTACCATCTGCTTGTCTGCATAGCAGCTGTGCTGCAAGGGTTACCATGCGCTGATTTGGTACCACGAGACGGCTGAACGCTTATAAATTTATGCGTAAGTATATGCCTTAAAATATAAACTGCCTCATTTTACTTTTAGCTTTACGGAACTACTACTCGTGCCACGCTCCACCCACCTTTAGGTGGGGCATGGCACGAGTATTACATTATATCACGCTATTAATCTATTACTCGTAAAAATTTATTAAGAATAAAAAAATATATAAAAGATGCCCTTTACCTCGCAAAATAGCAACCAATATCTTGACCACTCGCAATTCATCTCTACAACATTAACAGCCCATCCATCACCATGAAGCACTTTGCTGCCCTGATTCTGGCGTCTGCCCTGGCTGTCCCGCTGGGTGCTTCTCCCGTCTCACGATTTACGCCAACATCACAAAATCTTCCCAGCGTCGTCTACCGTGGCGACCAGATTCCCCCAGAACAGTATAAAAAAGACGGCGGAATCCCGCCCGAGTTCACGGGAGACATGACAGAAAGGTCATACAGTTTGTGGTGGCACAATTTAGGTACCGATAATTACCCCGACAGGGATTTCCAATCGGCTTACGCGGCAACCTCGACGGAATTTGCAGTCGCTGTTTCTTTTGCTATCAAGGACAATCCAAACGAAGCAGGATGGATATATCGAATCCACGCCACGCCAAATATGATTGACTTGGCACACTCTGATTTCAGGCCCATATATCTCGAGCGCGAGTTTGCTGCCGTGGGGGGAATACGCTGGGACCAGGTTGAGGCCTGGCTCGAGGTTCCCAAGAATGTGTCGGCCGAGAAGGGCGCTGGCGGCATCCGGCAAGAAGAGAGAAAGAGGTGGCAGACGGCTGAGGATTTTGAGAAGGAGTTCCCCGACTTGAAATGGGTCAACAACCCCCCCTTCGCCCGGGTCATTAACGGAGACTACAACCCGGTATACGACCAATATCGCGTTAGTCAAGGACAGCCTCAACTTGCTGGCGTGCCGGAGGGGAGACGACAAGGGCCACTTGCGAGCGAATTCGCAAAGGAGAACAAGACATTGGAGCAGCATGCCATTGAGTTTATGGACAAGGTTGGCGCGCCTGTGGGCTGGAAGGGAGCCTTTCCACTTGACCTAAAGGCTCCTGTAAACTCTCAAGCGTAACTGCTACGGCTTCACGATGTGCCGGCAGAGTTCGTATCAAGGATATTATAAAGGGAATAGACGCCAAATTAAGGCAACGTGTTGAGATGACGTTGCTTGTTTAGGCAATAGCTATATTCCAATAAATATTTGAAACAAAAATACTACGCCACCCCTTGCA